GCGCCGGCTCCCTCTACTGGCCCATGTCGCCCTTCCTGTCCCCCCACCACCCCCGCGCCAGCAGCACTTTGAGCTACAACGGCACGGCGTCGGCCTACCCGAGCCACCCGATGCCCTACAGCTCCGTGTTGACGCAGAACTCGCTGGGCAACAACCACTCCTTCTCCACGGCCAACGGGCTGAGCGTGGACCGGCTGGTCAACGGGGAGATCCCGTACGCCACGCACCACCTGACGGCCGCCGCGCTCGCCGCCTCGGTGCCCTGCGGGCTGTCGGTGCCCTGCTCCGGGACCTACTCCCTCAACCCCTGCTCGGTCAACCTGCTCGCGGGCCAGACCAGTTACTTTTTCCCCCACGTCCCGCACCCGTCCATGACCTCGCAGAGCAGCACGTCCATGGGCGCCCGGGCCGCGTCCTCGTCCACGTCGCCGCAGGCGCCCTCCACGCTGCCCTGCGAGTCCCTAAGACCCTCGCTGCCGAGCTTCACGACGGGACTGTCCGGGGGACTGTCCGATTATTTCACACATCAGAACCAGGGGTCTTCCTCCAACCCTTTAATACATTAACGTCCCCGGGACCAGACTGTAAGTGAACGTTTTACACACATTTGCATTGTAAATGATAATTAAAAGAAAAAATAAGTCCAGGTATTTTTTATTAAGCGCCCCCTCCCCCTCCAACCCCCCTCCTCCACCCCCTCCCCCCGCCATTTCTGTACGTTTGTTCAGTCTTTAGGGTTGTTGATTATTCTAACAAGGTGTGGAGTGTCAGCGAGGTGCAATGTGGGGAGCATACATTGTAGAATATGAAGTTTGGAAGTCAAAATTATAGTAGAACGTGTATCTAAATAGTGACTGCTTTGCCATTTCATTCAAACCTGACAAGTCTCAGAGCCGCCAGATGTCCATGTGTGCAGTATTATAAGTTATCATGGACCTACATGGTGGACGCAGACCTTGAGAACAACCTAAATTATGGGGAGAGTTTTTAAATGTTAAACTGTAATTTGTATTTAAGAAGCATTCGTAGTAAAGGTGCCCAAGAAATTATTTTGGCCGTTTTATTGTTTTGTCCTTTTCTTTTAAAAACTGTTTTTTTTTTCCTTTTGTTTACTTTTAGACCAAAGATTGGGTTCTAGAAAATGCACTTGGTATACTAAGTATTAAAAAAAAAAAAAAAGAAAGTTGTTTCAGTTGGCAGCACTGCCCATTCAAATGAATTGGAAGGGGACAAAATTAATGATTGCCTTCAGTTTGTGTTGTGTATATTTTGATGTATGTGGTCACTAACAGGTCACTTTTATTTTTTCTAAATGTAGTGAAATGTTAATACCTATTGTACTTATAGGTAAACCTTGCAAATATGTAACCTGTGTTGCGCAAATGCCGCATAAATTTGAGTGATTGTTAATGTTGTCTTAAAATTTGATTGTGATACTGTGGTCATATGCCCGTGTTTGTCACTTACAAAAATGTTTACTATGAACACACAGAAATAAAAAATAGGCTAAATTCATATATAACTTGATACTTTTGTCTCTTTTATTAAGTAGAGCTAAGTTCTAGAGAATTCAAAGGCTTTTTCAGCCAAATAAAATTTAAACGCTCCTTTCATTTGAACTGAGACTTTAAATGAAAAGAGTATTTTTTTCCATTATGGAATCAAATTTTACAAAGGAGCAGGCTATTTAATAGACACTAGCTTTAAACAAAGTATAGGCTTTTCAGCTGATATTTTTAAGTTTCTGTAGATGTACTCAAAAAGAGATAATTTAATGTGCATAGTTATTTACCCTGTGTTTATTTTCAAATCAGTCAATAGAATGCTTACTTTTTATATATTTTGTTTCAGGTATCTTGTTTATACCACTTGGCAAACTATAAATAAATGTATGTGGTTAGATCGAAGTGAATATAATGCACACAATATGTAATATATATAGACACACAGAGCCCTTCAGTTCAGGTAAAATTTGCGCTATGAATGCTGCAAATATTTTTGTTTAAATATTTGTATTTATACTAAGTCAGCATTTATTTTGGTCGTTGTTTACTCACAATGAAAGAGTTCTAATAAAGATGTGCTGAAGTTGCAATATAGATTTTGCTGAAGTGCTCACCTGTTGTAATGACTTGCAGACCAATGTTTACATTTTATTTTTAAATTATAACAATTTAAAATTCTAAAAGTTCAGAAGCAGTAAAATGCCTCTTTCTCATTTTCTTTCATTTTTGCAATGTAGAGGTATTTATTTGATTCCCTTTTAGATAAGTCTGTAAAATCTAGAGATTTGTTTCTTTTGTTTACAGTCATAATTTTAACTTGTAATACACATATGCATGCATACATATGCATATACATATAAATCTGAAACAACATGAAATGATTTTTGAATTGTTTCAGCAGTCCAATGGCAATGAGTCCAGAAAATAATTATAAAACCTAAGTAAAAGGTTCAGTAACTAATTGGATCCTGTGGTGAGTCCATGGAGGACAAGTTGTTCATTTGTTACAATTGTATAGTCTGAAATGTGTTCTGCAGTAATGCAATAAGCTGGCTACTTCTTACAATGGGCCCAATGAAAAATAATCTGTCCCCAAGATGTTATCGGCAAACGCTTAGAGAGTTGCTCAGGGGGGGAAAAAATAAAGCCTAGGAGAGAAGCAAGAGTGACTCAAATAGATTTGAAATAGAAATACAGCACAGTTAATATTGGAATATGGGGATGGATGGGTTGCGAATGGAGAGGTAGAAGAAGGAAGTGAGAGAGAAGGGAGGAAAGGAAAAAAAAAAAAGGATCTTTAAAGAAAAAAAAAAAATCCCCATTACCAAAGGAAAGAATGAGTAAGAAAGGGAGGTGTCTAAGAAAGACAGAAAGATAAGGGCCAGGATAATTAAAAGAGTTGGAACCAAGTATGTACAAATAGGAAATGGACCTAATAGGCTAAGACGGCTAGTTTAATTATCTCCTTTAAGCAGACTGGGCATGATTTTATTTTTTTTTCATATGACAGCAATTTTACCAAAGGTCCAAGTTGCTTGAAATGTATCCGTTCTTCAGAATGAAGCATGAAAGAAAATCCCACAAATAAATTGTTTTAGAAGCCAAATTTATGGCTGGTATTAAAAATAGTGATAGAGTCCAAGTGAATGAGGTTAGGCAAAGGAGATCCCCACTGATGCATTTGTGAACAAAAACAGCTGAAGGAAAAGCATGTGTTTAGACTGAAAAAGGTGATGATGTGTTTGCTTTTATTGGGGGTTTTATTTGTGGAATGATAATGTACTGGTACCGAAGAATATAGTCTTTTGCCGATCAAAAGTTGGAGAGTTGGACTCTTATATTGAGTTAAAAGGACATAGATCTGGAAGAAAGATTCCCTCCTTGAGTATTTTTTTAGCCATATTAAATATCTATATTTTTTGTGATAAGGGTTTATTTGCATGATGGAGAAATAGAATTTCAATGGCAAACATTATAGTTTGAAGTCAAGATTAAAACTGACTTCTTTGAATTCATAGGAACTAAGGACTGGAGTGGAAATTCTACTTGGATACATGTCCAAGTTACATATATAATGGGGGATAGAGAAATTTGTGAAGGCCTCCTGCTGCCCAATGTGAACATTTCATTTATCTCAGTCTATCCTACCATCCTTCAAGTTATCTTCTTCAAAAATACATGACAATGTAGCATGGCATTTAGTAGATTTTTTTTTTGCAACAAATTGATTGTAATACGGTGTTGATATTTATTTTCACCAATCTTTGCCAGTTAAAATCACCTTATACCAGGAGAAAAATTTCAAAACTTTTGAGCTGTTTCTTTTTTCCTAGTTACAACTGTTTTCAATGAGATGAAATTGTTCTTTTTGAGATTTTGGAGCTAAAAGTGATCACAACTTATAACTTGAAATTCTAAATTATGTTTTATTCCTAGGTTTAAAGTATTTTACTTGAATTTATCTGGTATAAAGTTACTCTAAGTTACTAATATATAAAACATTAAGAAAATGGCTTAGTTAGAGCAGGAAAGGATTCTTCCAAATATGTTTCAAGATTTAATACAAATATCTTTATTGTTTCATGTGATTTCTATGACTTGCATAAAATCAACGGTAGAGAGGCAAAAAGTGAATCTTGTGCGTTGATTATATATGTTTAAGTTGCATATTTCACCCACAGAGGTGGATAAATTGAATATATTCAGAATTCTAAATATATAAATGTAATTTTTAAAAAGTGTATTTTCTACAGCATTGCTGAGGAGCTTGCATTCATTGAAGTAATTTTGCTTTTGAGATATTAATGTTATGACTAGCTAAAGTGTCTGGTTGTGTTTGGGGACAAAATGCCTGTTGGAGAAATAGGCTAGCAAGAGGTGAAGGTGAAGATCATTAGAGGTTTCCGAGCTGGCTGGGATGGGATGCTGGGGTTGTGTAACTGTGCCTAGAGGGCGGGGTTCCTGTACATTCCTACTTCACCAGATAACCTGCCCCCAACACCACTCCAGCTTCTGCCAGACAGATGGAACTCTCCAACATGATAATCTGCGCAGCCACTCCAACAAGCAGGGTAGGTGAAACTCGCATTAAAATTCTACCCTCTTTTTTTTTTTTTTTCCTACGTGAAGCCAGATCCTGAAGATATGGAGAGAATAAGGGTCATCTAGATTCTTTAAGTCATACTCGCCTGTCTGCATTCTCTCTAAGAGCTACCTACCTGTAAGAGTTCAAAGACACTGTCTTTCACAGTACTTCATTTTCGATTTTTTTTTTTTTTGGTGTGCTTTTTTTCTTTTTCTTTTTTTTTTTTTCTTTTAAGGCTTTCTTTTCTCATCCCAACCATTCCCTATCCCTTCTCCAGGGCCTCCCCTCCCCCAACCACCAGCAGTTAAAATAATCCACCTCTTAGTTTTGGCCCCTAAACCGACCTTTTCCCCACTGTAGCGATCAGTTCGCCGGGACTTAGTCCTGAGGGTGTAGCTCCGAGGAATATGATGTATTGTTATGGTTTGAGTCTATTTTCTTCGTTCCGATTTCTATCTGTTTTTTCCCTCCACCCAAGACTGCCTGAAGTTGTCTGAGGATGCGGAAGAAAAGATTTGCGGCCTGGGAGCGCTCCTAACCCCCAGATCGGTAAGTAAAAGTGATTTTCAGAAGGGTGGAGGGCTACCCCTGACCACTTTTGATTGAGGCTTAAACCACGACTTTGCGGTCCCTGGCGAAAGTGCTCCTGTTTTGTTTTGTTTTTATTTCCTTAGAGGAGTGTGCTATCAAGGAATTAGCTGAGGAAATGCATGCTTTTTCCATGTCTGCAGAAAGTCACTGTGCGTCCCTAAGTAAAGAGGGTGGAGACATGGCAAAGAGGGACGAAGAGAAACCAGGCGAATTTATATGGAGAAGGGTTAGTAGGAGACTGAAATAGGTCCCAAAGTGCAAAGTCATTCATTTCGTGGAAATGGGATTTCTGAGTCTAACCGCAACTGCGAGGATATCCTAACTGGACTTTCTTAACGTTTAAACCCGTAGGTATTTGCTCTCCTGTTTGAGACAAAGCTCTATGCTCTAGAGCCAAAGACTTACCTCATTCGAAAGTTCTGTTTTCTTTTCTTTTTTTTGGGGGGGGGACGCTTTTCCTC